TGTTGCATAGTCAGACCATGCTGTTTTCATCTAGCAGGGCTTGTTGCCCTGAAAACTAAAGCCTTCTGATAATGTTTTCATAGTTCTAGTTACATTCCCATGAAAGTTCCATAAACATAGGTTGTTTATCACATTCCTTCTAAGAAATGTCTTTTGATGGACGTTTTGCATGACCAGTGTGCTTGGGAAGGTGGTAAGTTAATTATCCAATCCTTGGTCATTGTTGAGAATCTATAAATACTGGAGTCAGAGAATAAAAGTTGGTTCTTTCCTGTTCTATCACTGAAAAGTGTTTGTGTGAATCATTTTGTGTCCTTTAGTGACAAGAGCCTGTTCCTTTGGCTTATGGTGGCTATGGTACCCTTCAGCTGATAGCCAGAGAGAAAAAATTTCCAGAGAAGAGAGAGGAGAACAGAGAACATGTACATGAAACAGGAGAACAAGAGATCCATTACTTGCTAAAAGTGGGACTCTTTTCTTATTTCCTTTAATCTCATTAATGTTTCTTATGCCAGTAGTGTTATGGAAGCAATAGAACTTTTGTACACAGAGTTCACAGCATCTGACACTTGTATTTTAAAAAACAAAATCAATTAGTGGCAGATAATGTGACAAAATTGTTTACTAATGTGAGCATCTTCCACCTTGTCTTTGTGTGAACTGGTAATAAAAATACATCTGAGAAGAAATTGGGTTTTCCATTTGCTGACTGGGGAGAGTCACAGGTGGAAGGAAAGAAAATGTTTTCATATTGGGGCATATTATTAACATTATCCCTATTATAGGTTCTTTAAAATAAGAACAGGGTTTATAAAAATAATAACAATGCCATTTTGCTTGAGAAGGTGGAAGAAAGTTGATGAAAACACAAGTGTGATTCAGATGGTGTTTCATGTTTGGTTGTCTTGAAGTGAATTTTTCTCTTGTCATGTCTGTCTTTACAGACTGTGTAATCTCATGTTTTTCTGCTTTACTGTTAAAGGTTCATGCTACGCACTTACCTACAGGACAAAAATTGATCAAGATAATACTGCAGCTCTGCTACCAAATGGTATGGAGGATTTGTTTTGGTTTAAGTAATATGTGTCAGTTGTGGTCTGTGTTGTTCCTATTTATTTTTACTTTTTTTTTAAATTTGGAATGATGTAAACTGGAAAATAATGCTTACCGTACTTGCCGACTTTGTTAGAAATATGTGTGAATTTGAAAAAATACTAGTTTTAGCTCTTTTTTTCATTCATACTGTTAAACTGTTTATTTAATCTAATGGAAATTAAAAAACAATAAAAATCAGCTTTGCTTATGTATAGTCAGATTGTCAGTGCTTCAACCATAATTGCTATTGCTACAGGGAATTATTTTTGTGAAAACATTGCATTCCAACTTCTTGTTTCCTACTGGTCTACCAGACCTCCTTGGGTCTGGTACACCCAAGAGAGCACTAAGTTTCACATAACACCATGGAGACAGCTGTTAAAGTTAAGTAGAGAAAGTGGGAATGTGAGTGTGTGGGTTAGATAGTTTTTTTGGGTCACTGGGTGATAGAGTTCAAGGTTTAAGCTATTTTACTAAATAAGAGACAAGATTTAGGAGGAATTAGGGTGTTGTCACATTCTCCTTCTTATTCCTTCTTCATCTCCTTCTTCTAGGGATTTTTGGGTAATAATAAGTGACTCGATAGAAAATGCTGCAGTGCAGCACACAGGTGTCAGGTCATTGGGTCACTAAGCAAAATAACTTACTTGGCATTTGTTAATTGGACAAATAGACATATGAGAGACCTTAAAGAAGTTCTTCATTAGCCATTTTGCATCTCTCTTAGTGTATGTAGCTCCTTGTACTCTGTATATATGTAGTATAGATAAGGAAAGAATAAACAACCAAGTCCCAACACAAGAAAGTAGCCTCTCTCTTGTCGGTCTTAGTCCTGGGTAGAAGAACCCAAAAACCAGTGTCGCACCCCAACAGGGTTAGATTGGATATTAGCAAAAAAGTCTTTACTGTGAGGATGGCAAGGTGCTGGAACAAGTTGCCCAGAGAAGTTGTGGTCCCCCATCCCTGGAAGTGTTTAAGGCCAGGTTGGATGGGGCTTTGAGGAACCTGGTCTAGTGGAAGGTGTTCCTGCCCATGGCAGGGTATTTGGAACTGGGTGATTTTACTGTCCCTTCCAACCCAAACCCTTTGATGATTCTGTGAGGATTCTGTGATTCCCTAGGAACTGTGTAACATGTTAAAAGTCTATTTCAAATGCATCACGGTTTTATGAGATGACATGATAAAATGTCCAGCATCTCAGGTGAGAAAATTAAGCTATTTTGAGCTTCAATTACATTGTCTTATCTCTGTTTAAGAGTATATAAGAGATAATAGAAATACAAACTGGTCTATTTGCCCTCTAGGCTAAGAAGCTGTAATATGACAGGTGCCCATGAGGGCATGAGTAAATTCAGATTGTTCAGAATTCCTTTATGAGTCTGTTAGCACAGTCGTGGCAAAATGGATACTTGATAGCGATGGAGTTTGTGTGATACAGGTGTTACAAGCAGTGCGCAAGTACTGCAGCGACAGTGTTACAGTTCCTGGCGATGTCACTGTCAGAATTCTTCCTCTTCAGTCTTGTTTGTGTTCTGTGCTGTGCTGTTACTTGTGC